CACCCGAAAAACCACAGAAATAATAAAATGTCCGGGTTTTGGAAGGTTTTATTGGGAACTCCACGATGTAGAGGGGAATGAGGCCGCCAGTCAGGAGAGATAGCCCGGGAAGCGCTGAGCGGCCGTGGCCCTGCTCCCTCCCCGCCCCACAGTAGCAGCAGGGAGGGAGGTTGGCATGGCGGAGTTTGTTTATTTTCCTTTATATTTCCACAGTGTCTGTGGGGACGGTAGTTCACTGCGAGCGCCTGAAACCCGGGGGAAAGGAGCTGCAGCAGGTTCTCCCACAGAACAGGGCTTTGTCACTGTCTCTATATTTGCCCACAGCCATGGGGACTGAGGACGCCTCAGAGCGGGTTCCCTTTGGGGGGAGTGCCCTCATCCCTGGCGTTTTCCTTTCGGGGAACGCGGAGTGAAAACCCAACGCCTTTGTGCTTGTACCTGCCCTGCCCAGCCCAGTTTCCAAGTGTTTCACTGCATGGACAGAGAATTCCCAGCGGGAATGGCAGGGACGGACACGGGCACGGCCGCTCCACGCAGCCCGGCGCCATCCCACCCCTCCAGCAGCACCAGAACAGCGCGGGGAAAGCGGCTGCACTCCCTTGCCTCTGATCTCCAGGGCAAATAAAGGGAAAAGCAGGGATACAGGGAAAAAAAACACATCTGTGGAACGTCGGTAGGAGCGGTGAGGGAGGCAAAGTGAGCCCGCTGCCAGCTGGAAACAGCATCCCGTGTTACAGCCCTGCCTGGGATCTGCCTTTTTTATCTGATCCCTTCACAACTTCCATCCCCTGGAAGCTGGCAGAGCGGCAGGAGGCTTGGAGGACACTTGCCTGGCGAAAAATACCACAGAAGGAATTCCTATACAGGAGTAAATTTAATAAAACCACCACCAATTGTTTACTTTAACATAGCTCTTGTTACAGAAATCATAAAAATGGACTCAGTAGCTAAACTCATTAGTTCTTTCCCCTTTTAATTGAAAAATATTCCGCTGATTTCAGCTTCTACTGCACTAGATGGAGTGTTAAATAGTTGCCAGGACAGGACGCCCAGTGATTGAGCCCAAAACAAACACAAAGACAATTCCATCAGCTTTCCTTTTCCATGTTACGACTCGTTATAATGAAGTGAAAATTAAAACAGCAAGAAAGGGTCCATTTGACAGATGAAAGGTGGAGGGAGAGGAGATCCACAGCCGAAATCTCGCAGGAAGCCTTTGGAGAAGTGGTGCAAAACACCCCTCCGTGTCCTGCCTCGGGATCCAAAACAAACCTCTAAACACACACAAACACACACACACGCACTCACACGCCTCCTCTGGGATCACAGCACGTGTCCTGCGTGCACCAGTGGGAACAGAGAGCTGGATTTGGGCAGGTAAAGACAGATCTGGGGCCAAAAATAAACCAAGAAAAAGGCAAGGCATCCTGAACCAGAGCTCCAGGAGCTGCGAGGGGCCGCGTCCGTCGCCAGCAATGGATACACACACAGACCTGGGGGAGGCCCTGGACAGAAAGGAACCGCAGGAAGAGGAGAAACCCAACTGCTCTGGAAAAAGCCTTCCAAAAAGAAAAAAAAAATAAAATATATATATATAGATATATTCACTACACCAGCACACGCTTCCCCCACCCCAGCCCAGGGAAAAAAAAACAAAACCAAACAAAAGAATCAAACTGAAAGAAAATGCACAGCAAATAGACATAATCTTGAAGATTTTTAAAGAATAAATATTTTTTTGTAATTAAACATTATGCAAACACGTGCCACGCTTGCTCTTTGTCCATGCATATGCGCTATATACAACTTTGAAAAATACTGTGTTGTCCTCTTTTTGTTTTAAAAGTCATATACAAAGGTTGGGTTTTTTTTTTCCTTGCTGTGTACCCCCCTCCTTCCCTCCCCAAAAATCCTCTTTACAATGAGCCAATCCACATTCATCCATGTATTTGGGTGGCAGAGAGGAGGAGGGGGGCGGGAGAGCCACCCCCCTTACCAAAGTCCATCAAAATGGCTGGTTTGGACATGAAAAGCAGTGTCAAGAAACTGGTTTAAGTTTCATCTGTACTACACACAGGAAAAGAAAGAGAGAAAAGAAAAAGGAGTCGGCTTGGAGGATGAAGCTACGTTACAAGTTAAAGTTGGAGGGTTTTTTAGTGCGTCTGTCACACTCTTGGCCGCCTAGAATACTGTTGTACAATGGTTTATCTACCTTTTTTTTTTTTATTACAATATAATTTACTTAATTTTTCTGTTAACAAAACAGAATCCCGGTACTACAGACCAGCGGTGTAAGAGGCGGAGCAGCGCCCTGGGTGGGTTTTATTGGAATTGCATGAGCACTCTAGGATGGGAAAGGGTTCAGAGTTCATTGCTGCGGGGCCGGGCTCAGTCCTCGATGTACTCCCACAGGTCCTTCTCGTAGCCTTCATGCACGTGCTGCAACAAAACCCTCCGCCGGCTCTCGCAGTATCTGCAGGGGACAGGGACAGCGTGGAGAATGCACGTCAGCCATCATGGAGCAGCAGGGGACAGGGACAGCATGGAAAAGGCACATCAGGAATCATGGAGCAGCCTTTGGTGCGTTGTGATTTCAGGATTTACCTCAGAAACTCGGTTCCTACCATGGTGATTCCCTGCCAGGTGTGTCAGTCACCTCTCCTTTCCCATCCCTGACCCCTGCCCAGCACTGTCTGTCAGTCCTGGCACTCCAGAAGGGCATGGAGTGATTGGCAGAGTCAAAGGATGCTCTCTACCCCTGGGAGGACATTGGGCCATCCAGGTGTCCTTTGTCCCTTGAGACTTCCCCTCCTGTACCCGGTTGATGGTCCCCGTGTTCCTTCCCTCTCCCCGGGGTTAAAAGGAACAGCAACCATGCGGTTTGGAGAGTTCTGCTGAAGCTGTTGCTGGGCCAGAATAAAGCTCTGGATCCAAAAAACCCTCCATCAGAACCAACTCCTTTCCTTCACCTTTGCCTTAAGGCTTCTCCAGCAGAGGGAAACCTGAGGAGCGGCCCCTCCATGGGAGGAAGCTCCATCCTGCCACCACCAGAGCTGGACTTGTCTCCAAGCACCCAGCCGAATCATCCAGCCAGCCAAAGGTGAAAAC